GGCTGCGTAGGCCTTCCAGCAAATATCTGGGGAGTCAAAATCCCGCACGAGAACTGGGACCTGTGATATTAGTAACACTCTCCTGTTATTTTTAAATTTGTTTCACTTGACAGATCTTCTCTCAGGTACTTCTTTTCACACTAGAGCTCATCATTTGTATTCACACAATTCGGCAGAGCTGTGGTGTTTATGTTAGTTAACCAGTTACTACTGTGGCACAGCCACAAGACAAGATACCACAAAAGAAATCAAAAGAGACAGCCACAGATAAAATTTATGCCAATCCTACAACACATTCGCACACTCAGCACAGTCAGTGAACTTAGACACATCAATCAAGTCACTTACAAAAATAAGCGAATAACCCTTCAATATCCTACATCAGTTTTAAAATGTCTGACAGTTTTTAGTTAAAACATAGCACTTCAAGTCACTAAAACTGCCACCTCACCTTTAGAGAAAGGAAAATGCATTAGAAGAAATGTGTAAAACAAGAAGCATCTTGGAAAACTAAGGAAAAGCTGAAGGGGGCAGCACAATAAACAATCATACGCTGGACACCTGACTAAACATCAAGGCTACATACAGGGCTAGTCATGCGGTGCTTAAAAGATCATTACAACCATATTACAGCAGGATTGCTTGGTATCAGATGGGATGACAGATATTTAAAGAACTAAGCAACAGAGTTTTAATATCACTGTTAAAAGCTGAATGAGGAACCACAGACATGTAATATGAAAGAAATACTATCCCCCTCTTGTGGCTCAAGAACGAATTACAGTAAATTCACAACTATGCCCAGAGTGGTCAGTGAAACTGATGGAATCAAGTGCTTTATCAGCCTTCTGGTTACCTTTCCAACGCCAGACAATTACCTGGGAAGAAATGATCGAAGGAAAAGCTGAATACATGCTCAGTGTAATCCCACTGTGCACCTCCATCTTGTCATTACATGAAAAAACAAGCCTGCGTTCTGAATAAACCAACTCCCAATGCTTAGAACCGTAAAAGAATGAGATCCTTTACTTACGAGAGCGGAACAATTATGAGATAGGGGCCATTGAGTCTTTTGTGCTCCATCAGATAAGTGATGAGTGCAATAGTCTGTATTGTCTTTCCTAGTCCCATTTCATCAGCTAAAATTCCATTCAGATTGTTATTATAGAGTGAAACCATCCATTCCAGTCCCTGGAGCTGAAATAAAGAACAATAGTTTCAGTGATTTAAAACCCATGCAAATAATTAAAACCAGTACTACAGAACCAAGGTTCTGATGTCCTTGACTACTTTTGGATTTCCTTCAATAACACTATATGCATGGGGATCCCTGGCTATGTTAACACTTTCTCCTCATCAAAAAAAAAAGCAAACCCAAACCAAAAACCCAAAACAAAACAAAAATCACAACAAACAAACCAACCAACCACCTTTGGTAACAGCTATATGGAAATCACCACTCCTGTTTAGCAGAGTCCATACCAGGAAGACAGATTTCATGCATGGTGGTATTTTTGTGCTGCACACAACATATGCACTCACACATAAGGTTGGTAAAGATCTTACAAGAATTTGTTCTTCAATTTCAGCACTGCTGAATTTAAACTTTCTGCGTATTTCATGTCATTTGCCTGTGTCAATAAAAATATTTCAAACCCAAATCCATCAAGTGTGCACAAAACATGTATGCCTCACACCTGCCAAGTGCATTACTGGTGTGCTAAATCTCTTGGAGCACACGTCCATTTAGCGTCTGCTGTCGGTACCTCCACACGTCAGAGTAGGCCCCCTGTGTCCAATTATGCCTTATGTATAAAATCCCAGAGTTGGAAGGAAGCCAGAGTACTGTAGCTACGAAATGTCTACATAAAAGTTTCACAATGCCAGAAAGCACTAACTTGGGCATAGCCTGAAACTGTGTCAGGGAAGGTTTAGGCTGGATATGAGGAAGCCCTTCCTCACGGAGAGGGTGCTCAGGCACTGGGACGCACTGCCCAGGGAGGTGGTGGAGTCACCGTCCCTGGAGGTGTTTAAGGAGAGGCTGGATGTGGCACTTCATGCTGTGGTCTGGCCGATGTGGTGGTGTGGGGACACTCGACTTGATGATCTTGGAGGTCTTTTCCAGCCTCAACAATTCTATGATTCTGTGACTTAGATTATTCCCTTGTCACACAGACTTCCACTTGTGTATCACATTACCCATTCAAGTGCAAATTAAGTCCTTGCTTCTAAGATCCAAACTTTTGGTGTGTCTCAAACATGGGTAGAGAAGTAAATTAAAAGGCCTAAGAAAGTTCAGACAGAAAAACTCCATGCCTGAAGTAACCTTCTCTGTGAGAGTATCCAAAATAATGTCGCCAGTTTACTGGCTTTATGTACATGCTGACTGATATTTAGGTATTAAAAAATAAGGCCACTAAGACCCGATCAGAATTTGTTCTGCAACCATATGTCCCACTTTGCTTCAGACTTGAGAATAGTAAAACTGTCTTTTCTATGTCATTGAACTTTCTCCATTAGCATATACTGACACGAAGAGGTAATGTGACCAAACATGACAGTAAGAAACATGGGAAAGCAAAAAAAAAGATTAGAAGGAAAAGGCATGTAAAATCCAGAGGATGGAGAAATAAGGGAGTGAGTGGGAGAGTCACAGAACAGTTTCCGTCAGAACATACTTGCTAGAACCAAAGCCAAGCCTCAATGCTCTTGAAATAAAGCTCCTTAGACAAGTGTGCCTTGTACCTTTGGTGACAAGACGTCATAAACAACAAAACTATTCAATTGCTAGATATCACACTGAGCACCTAAAGGATTTGCTCTAATTGGTAATGCCTGTGAGTGGAACTCCACAGCCAGAATTATTTTGCTTTATGGCACACAAGGAAATTGCATTGCAAAACACAGATCTGCATAATTTAAGAATAATTCTGTGTTCCATAAATAATTACAATTCGAGAAGTAAAGGAATTATCAGAATCTTAATTTTACATCCATGGGCACTTTAAGCAAATATGGCCATCAATTTAATATCATTACACATTTTTCTTTTGGTGCATCAGGTAAACCTTTCCAGAGAATGCATCAGGATTATGCAGTGAAGAAGGCTGCTAACTGCGTCTGTTGTCTTCCTGCTTCATTGGGTGCACAAGCTGGGCAACTTACTGACAGTGACACAGAAAAAATAAAGAGGGTGTCGTAGCTGAGAAAGTGACATATTTCTGTCCACGGTTGGATTCTATCTATTAAAGTGTTCCTCAGTGGTGCCAGAAAAGTTATTTAACCTATCATGCCCAAAATCAGTCCCTAAATAACACATTCCTCTTTTTGTTGAGGGCTCACAGTGAGACACTTGAAAGTGCTAAGAACTCACAAAACAATTCAAATTCAGGTTGAGTTTAGCTATGAATGAGTAGGATCATGGGATTAGACCTCAGGCAGCCTCTAGGCCATTCCCCTGCCCAAAGCAGGTCCAGCCTTGGGGCCAGGTTGCTCAGGCTTTTATAAAATCAGTGATTAAAAACCTCCTAGGTAAAATCTTTCCAAGTCGCTGTGGAACCAGTGGTGCTGTCCTCTTCTGTACACCCAGCCTGAACTCTTTTATTTCAGCTTTTGTTCACTGTCTCCTTTCCCCAATCTGTCCCACAGCGAGGAGCTCAATATAAAAATAGTGAAATGCTTTGAAAAGAGAAATCAGCTCTACTCTTGAACTTTAACTATTTAAATATGCTACTGCAGTAGATGGCAGGAACCATAGGAAGCAACGGCCGTAATCACAATGCTTTGCATTTGGGAAACAGTCTTCCTCCTAGTTCTCTGTCTCTTCACGACATCTTGGTGAGTGCGTATTATTCTTTATTTTATGTGGACACAGAAATAATGTTCTGACTACAGAAAACAATACAGGTCCTTGGAGTTTCTTTGAAGGCTGTACAATAGCAGAAGTCTTGAAAACATGTACCAAGGACATTTTCAATCATGAATCTAATTTATGCCAGAATACCAAAGTTCCTAGTCACTAAATCTGCTGAATGTCTGTAAAGGATATGAGACATCAACCTCCATAGTAAAATATTTTCCTGTTTCCAATTTTTATCACTGCACTGAAATATCTTGACCTTAATTAAAAAATGAAATTCTAAGCTTTTAAATATCAGAAGAAGAAAAATATTGCTAACCCACTACAAGTGAAAAGAATAAGCAAAACTGAAATTCCAGGTTAGTGAGGACAGCAAAATCAAAATATTATTGGTCTGCAATGAAAAAAAAAGTTGCAAGTATATGCAGGAAGTTAGTATTATTATACAAACAGTATGTATGAAATATCACTTGCGACAGGTATCAAATTCAAAATATCCAAATTTGAAACCTATTACAGACTTTGTATTTCACAACAGATTTTCAGTTTGTGACTTGAAATACCACACTGATATGTCCAGCAGAATTTGAAGTTTAAAATATTTCAATGTTTTAACCATTTCTCACCTGATAATGTTTTAGTGTGCCATTAATAAGAAGAGAAGACTGCTTTTCCACCCTTTCTGTGATTGCGTGAGCAACAGTGTAGTAGGACTGAGACCCTCTAGCACTATATTGCATGCTATATTCATCATCCACATCTTGTTTGGCTGTCCTGGAAAGTAGAAAAACAACAAGAGTGTTCTCCCACAAACAATTTTTTTGAACGCAGCTCACATATGTAGGTCTAAAGAAATAGTGCAAACTTCCAACTGTGGCAAGTACACCAAAGACTGCAAGCTACTTTATAAACAGCACACAATTAACACTAAATGAATATGTTCCTTCCCCTGCAGATGTTCATACCAGAGATGCTACCACAACCCACTGTAATCTAGTGCAAGGTATTCCTGAGAAATGTCACTGTAAAAAATCATAATTCCTAACAAAAAGCAGCCTCTAAAGAAAACTCACTCAATGATTTGCTTTGCGTCTTTCTCAGAAACTTCCTCACTGTTAGGATCCAGGAGTATCTTCTCCTCTGCCTCTAACCTGCTTGATTCTTCTTCTTCATCCTACAGAATACAAAAAAACAACAGGGGTGCTGGGAAGTGTGGTATCTCCCTGAGGCATACTTTCAACTAGCATTCGCATATTGGTCAATGTTTTATGACAGAAATCCGAATTACAAAATTGAACTTAGACATATTCTGCAACAGAACTGCAGAGCAGAATAACAATGTAATAATTTTACACACACCAATCAAGAAGAAGTCATGATACTTTGAAATAAAATGTATTTTCCTCTTTAATGATCTTATTTTTAAAAGCCTTACTTTGTCTACTGTGTTCATGGAGAATATTCCAGTATTGTATATATATGTTTATCATATTCCAGTTAAGAACTGATGCTTTAGGCTTCTAGTTTCTTTGTAGAAACAGAAAATATTTGTACTCCTTAAAAATAACTTATCTTCTGACTACAGTTGCAGCTAATAACTAACAACCTAAAACCTCCCTAATGAAGTTGAACAAAATACTACTCTTAGTTATGCAAGTGCAGATTTCCCTAGGTCTGAACAGCAGTGCTGCTAAGGAGACTGTGCACATGTCTTTCAACATTCCTCCTAGAATCTGACAGGTATCAGGCCCTCCTCACCTATTCTAATATTGAGAGTCTTGTAGAATTACATTAGCAGTCATCAGTCCTACAAAGGCACGTACTTTAACATCACACAGTCCACATCAGTTTCAGAGGTCTTTTGGTCTGCTATTGTAAAGACTGCTAGACTCAGGAGATCTGAATTATACACCTATTTCTAATACTAGCCTGCTGATTGAACATGGTCCTTCTGTACTCCTCAGTTCTTCTCTCCTTTAGAAAGCACTTGTCAGGAAAGTGCTATGCAAGTATTGGTACTGATTATTTATATAATCTAATATTATGACTCTGCACGATTGGGATCTTTGTGTGTGTTGATTTTATGTTCAAGATTATTTTTAGAATCTCAATAATAATAGTATTTAAATCACCACTAAAGTACTGAATCAAATAAGCCTACCCTGAAGTCTGAACTTAAATCCCTTATATAATCCCTAATATATAAAAATTGTATTATTCATAACTGCCAGTAAAACCTCCAAAGCATAAACATTGGTTTCCTTCATTCAGCACAAAGCCACAATACAGCCTTTTCTGACATATATACTGAAATAGGAATCTGCTTATATTCTCTGTTTTGCTATTATTAATCATCAGTAATGTATTTTACTTTTCCTAACTCCAGTTACCAGTTAGGCATTTACAGCACATACAAAGGGCAACTACGCTGAATGGAAAAAAATTACAAAACCAGTTACTTTTCCTGTTTGTATTATTCTTAAAACACCTACACACCTGTTATCACTTTACTTTCCTTATGAAAAAGAAGAAATTACCACAAGAAATCAGTACTTCGGTTTTACTTTATTGTCAAAGTATTTTTTTAAAGACACATACCTCCTCCTCATATTCAGAGCCACTTTCGTCTTCACTGTCTGACCTGGGAGCAACTTCATAGCTGTACAAAGACAACAGAAAAATTATGAATTACAAATAACTATAGGAGGGATTAGGTTCAGTACACCTCCTACTCAGTTTACGCAAGAATAACTAAGAGAAGAGCAGGCTACTTACATGCTAACTACTTACCCAGGGTTCATTTCCAGCCAAGCATCCAGCTGACTTGCTTTTGGTGCTTCTGGTCCAAGAAGAACTTTTCCTGTTTCAGTGTGAGTCACTTTGACTGGAAGGTCACTCATCTGACTGCTCTCATCTATGGGCTAAAAATTCAAATGAAATATTATACAATAAGGCAACTGAATTTCACGCTTGTCATACGTGATAAAAAGAACTAAGAGAAGAATTTTAAGTCTAAATGTGAACAAGCAGTGAAGTTTGTTACTAGAAGCCACATCTTCCCACATGGATATCAAGCAAATACTGAATAATAGTATTTCTGCATGTGACACTCACAAATATATCACAGGGCTCCAAATAAACTAAAAAGAGCAGCATGGAAAAAAATACACTGTTGGCTTCTGTGAAACAGGACAAAAAGTATATATTCTTATAGGCATTTAATCCCGTTATTTACACCAGTGGACATCTGTAACAAAAAAACCCCATACCTTAACCTTAAGACCTTTTCTTTTGTATGGAAAAATCAGATTATAACAATTTAGCTAACTTTTTAATATATAAGGCCTATTTTAAAAATTCTTCAATTAAGCTGATAAATCACATGCAACAGCAAAACCTTTTATTTATTCTGGTGCTCTAACAAAACCAGATTTTCTTCTGTTACTTCTTTGCCCTGTTTTAATCACAGATTTTCAACCTTAAAAACTTTTTGCATTCTACTACTGCTTCTACTGAAGCATTTTTTCCTAGTATACATATAGAAACAAGAATAAAAATTCTGAACAGTTATAAATACAGTGACTGACAGAGTATAAAATTTACCCCATTTCCATAAATATTTAAGTTACAGGAACGTTACATGCATTTTCCTTGTGCAATTAAAGATTTTGCTATAACTCTTTAACAACATCAGTAAAAATATCACTCGCGAGTATAAAAAAGACCAAAAGTACAACAATAAATACAATCCTAAATTCTTTATATAAAAATAAAATGGAAGACAAAAGTGGCATTAACAGAGTATCTCTTAATGAGTCAGCATATGCTCTGCTACTGAATGAAAAATATTCAAAGAATGACACAGAAAAATTACTCATTTCCTTTGGCTTTTGAGGAAGAAAGAACTTCCAGATGTCTTAAGCCACCAAATACTATGGTCTGTTTCATGTCTGAAAGGTAATTGCATGCAATATCAACAAAAGTATTTTATAAAGATTATAAGATAGAATATAGTGTTTACAATCTCATTTTATAAAGTAAGTTATGTCTACACACTGGAAGAAAACTATTTACTTTTAGTAATATAACAACACTGAGAGGGATTCGTCAGTAGGTATACTCATTCTAGATTCGATTTATTTTCCTTTTAATCTTCAACTTTCTGAAGAGGAACAGGTTAGCATAAATCTTAATCTAGGTAATTTTTATTCCTGGTTATAAACAACATTTCCTCTTAGAACATTTGTGGTCATGATTTCTTTTTAAGCTATAGCAATGGCACACTGGAAAGTTAAAATAAGTAACAACAAAAAAACCATCCTGTAAAATTCATACCTCTCCATCAGGACCAAGACCAGATGCCATTCCTTCTGCATTTTCTTCAGCTTTCTACAACAAATCAAGTGAAAAATGTAACAGTTACATTACAAGTATAGAGATAATACCTTATATGATTTAAGTGTTTTGGACCATGACTATGTGTCATTCCATTTCTGAATAGCCTAGGATACATGTAATTTAAGGTGTGGGCAGACAAAGGCAGACACAGGCAAAGAGTTAGTACCACACACGCAAACCATTTATTAGCATGACTAGGATACCTACAATATCTGGAGTCACTAGTAAATCTGTATCTAAGAAGTGGCTAGCCTACTGAACTTCCAGTCCAAACCTAGAGCTCCTTACAGACCTAGAGTTCCTTACAGTCTGTGCTAATACAAATAAAACAGTAACTAATTTTCACATAATTTACTATTAATTTCCTCTAAAATGCTTTAATCTGGACACACTGCTGGCTCATGCTCAGCCGGTTGTCAACCCAGGTCCTTCTCTGCCAGGCCACACCCCAGCCACTCCTGCCCCAGCCTGTAGCGCTGCAGGGGGTTATTGTGGCCAAAGTGTAGGACCCTGCACTTGGTCTGGTTGAACTTCATAGCACTGGCCTCAGCCCATTGACCTGTCCAGGTCCCCCTGCAGTGCCTTCCTACGCTCCGGCAGATCAACACTGTCCCCCAGCTTGGTGTCATCCACGAATTTTCTAAGGGTATGCTCAATCCCCTCATCCAAGTCATCAATAATGATGTTGAATATTCATAAAGACACCTTTTCTTGGATAAGTACACATTTTGGGGGGTTCTGACAACTAACTAGAAAGGATATTCTGAGAGTTCTCCACACTATATCTCAATTAAGTTTAGGCCACAATTATTCAAATAAGAAACAAAACCAACCCTGGAGCTCCTAGCTGGCGTAAGCTAGATTTTTCTTCTCCCGAGGCACCGCTCCAAGAAGTAAGTACTATCTTCATCCAAGCCTGTCCTCATTTACCCGACTTAGAAATGTCAGGATAGCATGAGAAAATGGAATACATAGTCTTCTTCTCAGTTGGAACTTTCCTAATCAATTCTAACAATGAGCAAGAAAGGATAGAATATAGCTTCTGCTCCTGCCACTGTGCTGGGATTTTAGTACTACAGCACAGTTTTGCTTTTGTTACCAATGTAAACAGATCAGACTAACAAGAATAGATCTTTGAAATTGTGGGGTTTAGATAACCAACTTCAAAGTATCATCACTGTTTATGGTAAATTTAGATAATTCATTTTACTTTTTTTTTTAAGAAGTATGCTTAAGGACTAGTTGCAGTTCAGATATTGAGATGATACTCAATACCCACTTCAAATCAAGTCTCGAGTCTTTGTCTTTGCCATTGAAGTCCACTTACCAAAGCAGGAACTTCAAATGAAGTAGTAGACCTGGGTCAATTCTACATTTTTAAAAAATTTATTTTTATTTTTCCTATTTAGCCTTCATACTTCGGGACACATGCGTGATTATATTTAAAGTACCGTTTCACCAGTATTAGGAAAAATGGAAATCTGGCTAAGCTTAACTCCGGTCTAAAACCTTCAAAATATTTATGAACTATAATATTCTTTCATACACACAAAAAATTAACCTGAAAAGAGGCTTATAAATACTTCTCTGGGCTATGCAAACATAACTGCTCCTGCTCAGTGCACCAACAGTTGATGCTTAGTGAGAACAACATCAATAGGAGCTTGAAAGCTGCTTGCTTAAGCACTCCTGGGCAGCTGCTATGTCTGCTGACAAAGAAAGAAATTGCACCAGAATTGAAGAGTTTACACAGAGGGGCTGGAAAATTTATAATAGTACACATCTAGCTTTGGCTGGACAAGCTACATTGACTGAGGATACTTTATTCCTGTGTGAACGACAGTGGGAGGGGTCCATTCTTTTGCACTTAAGACTAACTCTCTAATATACAAAGATTGTAATAGCTTAGCTACAGTCAGTAGAAAGAACTTTACAATTCAAGCGCACCACCACAAGCAGTAAGGATCAGTACATTTCACTATGCAAAGATCAAATCCTGCTGTGAATGCAGAAGCATTTACAGGCTGTAGTTAAAAACAATTTTGGAAAGCAGAAATATGTTACGAAGAAGATAAATGTAAATGATGACACATATCTCGCACTTGTATTTTGGGCTATGCAAAGATATTCTTGATCTTTGACAATTTAATGCTAGACAAGGAAATATCAATTTTATACAAGCAGGAAGCTACATTTTCTTTATTCTCCATATAATGACAGGAAAAACTCCTACAGACAAAAGTGAAAGGTTGTTGCACACCAAGTTTCATCTGGAGTATTTTTTTTTTTTCAATTTGTGACTGCAGTGAGGATGTATGACACCATCTGAACAGAAGGCTAGAGACTGATGCAAATAAAGGAATGGGAAAAAAGCAAAGGGGAAATCTACTCTAAAGATTCCCCAAACTGTACCCTAGAGAAAAGAAATGGATTAATCTAAAATTTTATTCTCATAAGAATATAGAATTTACTCTGATGTTATATATTGTAAGCCTGGTAAAGACGAGAAGTACTTCTTCACCTTCCACTTCCTCTAGCCGCTCGTAGGAGAAAATCATAGAAACTCTCTTTGCTAACTTCTCTGTAAGTACAAAATATTTAACTACACGTGTTATTAGATTAAACTCTGTTCCACACAGATTACAAAACAGAGAACCAGAGAACAGTTTTAGTTGGAAGAGACCTCCAAGATCATCGAGTCCAACCTTTGTCCTAGCCCTATTCAATAGCGCTAAATCACGTCCCTCAATGCAACACCTACCCATCTCTTAAACACCTCCA